GAGTCATGGAGTTTACTTCCAAGATGTCCCAAGAGTATGCAAGTGCAGTGCACGTATGTTTCCAGCTCACCCGCCACAGTGCAAAAGAAAGAATCATACGCTTCCTTAGATGTGTCAACGAAGGCAAATGCAGCCTTAAGATGCGTCACAGTCTACAGCGGGGAGAGCCACACTTACGTCATATTGTTTACAACCATAAGATGCATCAGAGTCTACAGCGGGGAGAGCTGCAGTCTCGGTGTCTTCTTTGGAAAAGCGAGACTAACACTACATGAAGGCCACACCGTACCAAGGTTAGTACTATGTGGTACCACGTTGGCTGTAAAGCTCACCAACTTGACAGCGATGACGTTGCACCTTGAACTACAGTCTACCACCTTCTATGCAGACAGCAAGGAGATATCAAGCTACATCTACAAACAAAGCAGACATTTCTATGTCTATGTAGGCAATAGAATGAAGAGAGTTGAAACATCTTTGAGCCCTGAACAATGGCAACATGCGCCAACAGGTAACAACTTTGTGAACCAAGTGAAGTGGCCCAACCTTGCCACACAGTTCACAGAATTGACCTGGCTACAAAGTCCTGAGCTCTTGGTCTGCTCAAATAGACAAAGGCCACAGAGACCAAAATGCGATGTACCTTCAACTCCAGATCAACGTGCCAACCTCCAACTTCAGGCACCCAGTAAACGTCAACCAATCCGCTTCAAACCCCTGACTAAGCGGAAGCACCTGAGATTAGGCATAGTTTTGATCGTCTTGATCACTTGTCTTAGCATCCCAAGAATGATCTTTATAGGAGTCTGCAAGGACTTACAGACTATTGAAGACATTTGCCATGACCCAGTGATTGACAAATGCCTGACGGCCAAAAATTGCCTTCCCCATACAGCTCACATGGGCGAAGCGCGCATAGGCGAAGTGTGGGAGCACATGATTGGTGCACCCCGTGAAATCATGGACTCTATGTCGTTAAAGACACCCACGCCCACACATGAAGTCCTCACTACCCTGATGACAACAGTAGCAGCCATCTTCAATACTCCATCGGTGGTTCCAGATACTTCGGTTCCTGAATATTCTGAGTCTTCTGCACCTGCTGTTGTTCCTGATCCTTCAGTTCCAGCTGTTGTTCCTGATTCTTCAGATCCAGCTGTTCCTGAGTATCCAGCTGTTCCTGTGTTTCCAGATCCAGCTGTTCCTGTGTTTCCAGATCCAGCTGTTCCTGTGTTTCCAGATCCAGCTGTTCCTGTGTTTCCAGATCCAGCTGTTCCTGTTTTTCCAGGTTCTTCAGTTCCTGAGTATCCTGTGAATCCAGTTCCCTTTGTTCCTGAGAAGCTTTGGGTTCCGGTTTTTATGTTCCAGATTTGGTTCCAGTTTCCTTTACAGGAAGAAGACCTTGTCTCACTTAGAGTCAAGAACGCATACCAGAACTATTGGCCCATGGGACTTGCACACCGGGCCCACCCAGCGGATGAACCACTTTGCCAAGCTGACTTTCAGATCGTGAAGCCACGTGAGTCAGGTCGTGACTCAAAGACACTTGTACCAGGCTGATCACCGATTTGGCACCGTAGCTGATGAAGACTGAACCAGAAGATAAAACCTCAAATGATGTATTGTGTTTATGCATTGTTTGATGTAACACTTGCTTATTTTTTGCATAATTGTGCATGCTTTATATTTACCAATAGTTATGCATGTTTTGATACCAAGTTTTTACCTATTTAGTCACAATGTGCATGGCATGCCTTAATGCTATAGTTTTTTTTCTATTCAGTTAGTTAGTAGTGGAAATTTAAATTTCCAAGCGGGGNTTGGGAGAAGAGGGGAAAATCTAATGTCAATTTACCTGTGGGACAATCAAATTGCAGAAACCTATTTTGGATGCACCTCTACAAACTGTAAGTCATTGTTTAGGATTCCCAGAATAAAGCAATATTTTCTGTTTGTTCCTCTGAGTTATCTATCTGTTCCAGATTGAAATAAAGCAAGTTTCCTGTCTAGAACAGAATAATGGTGAAAGGACTGGAAAGTAAATCCTATGGGGAACAGTTAGAAGAAGGTTGAGAAGGAGCAAGTTTTCAAATATCTGAAGGCTGTCACACTGTAGAGCAGGGATGTCAAACTGCTGGCCCATGGGCTGATTGCATCATACAGAGACCACGCCCACCCCAGCTCCGGCAATGCAAAAAACATGATACATCATGACACATCACGTGACATGGCGAGTTTGACGCCTAAGCTGTAGAGGATTTAGATTCTCACTTGCTCCTAAAGGGTAGGATTAGAACAAATAGATGTAGAGATGTAAGAATGTAGATTAGATATTAGGAAGAACTTGACAATTCGTAAAATAAATTACTGCCTGGAATAATTTCTTCCCCTTCAGTGGAGGTTTTCAACATCATCTCTCAGGGATGGGTCTATGACAATTTGCTACAGCCAACTCACCACCGCCAATTCACTGCAGGACAACTCACCACAGCCAACTTACTGCAGGACAACTTGCTGTAGGACAAGAGTTACACTAATATCAAAGAAATAGTGGAATGGAATCATTAAAGAAAGGATGCAAAAGGAGGAACAGAATAAAATGTGAGTTGCAAAAATAATTCATTTATTTTAAATAATTAAATAGAATTGTTAAATTGTCCCATAGCAAGTTGTCCCACAGTGAGTTGGCTGTGGCAGGTTGTCCTGCACCGAGTTGGCCGCAGCGAGTTGACTATGGCAAGTTGTCCCATTCTGCTCAGGGATGGTTTAATGAATTTTGTATTGAGCTATGGATTAGACTTGACCTCTTAAGTCCCTTCTAATGCTATCATTCTGCAAAAAAGAAATTATATATTATATACATCTGCATATATACACATTCCTTTGCAGGATAATGGATAGTCAAATGACAACGGAAATGATAAAAGGAAGAGGAGCATCATAATGTAATTATCTGCTTATCTTGCAGTTCCAACTATTGTGTTTGAAATTAGAAAATCCAAATCACTCCCGGGGAAGAAGTTAGAAGAGGGCTGTTGGGAGAAATGAAAATAATTGACAAATGCCAACACACGGTACACAAAACATTTCTATGTTTGTATACAGAACTGCCTATGATATTCCTAGTTTTTGTTTATCATCCTTTGAAGGAGAATAGGATAAACAAAACATTGCCCAGGAAGCAACTTCCAGAACTGAAACTTTTTGCCTTGATCAGTTCAAGCAAATAATTGTTTGTTGACTAGTTTGCTAGTATTTACCGTAGATGCCACTCCAATCCAGCTCCCTTGGCTTTTGTCATATTTCCCCAAATATTTCATATCTGTAACTCTAACCTCAATCCAGGGGTTCAACACTAGTAAAACTAAAATGCAACACTGATCTGTTGGGAACAAAAAGGAAAAAAGGATGAATATCATACCACAATACAATACTAATTTCACTGAAAAAGATTTATTTCTGTCCTTTTAGAGTTTGTCATACTTTAAGAACAAAGAAACTATTAAGTCATTTCATCATCTTTATAACAAGAGATAGGCAGCTGCTATTCTCATTTTACAAAAAGTGAACAGAGATTAAGAATTTCCCACAATTTCTCAGAAAATTCATGTACAAGTTGAGAGTTCAACCTAGATCTGCAGTTCTTGATTCCATAAAATTGTAGATTCTTCTTTCTGTCACTACATTCTTCCTGCACACAACTCTCCCTCTGAAGAAACTTGGTTACATTTCAGGATGAACTGAATTCTATTCAGGCACTAGTAAGAGGCAACATCAATTCCCCTGGATAAAGCTTTCCAAATAAAGAGACTCACCCACCAATGATACTGTCACACCTGCTTTTTTGTCTCAGGAATTCTCTAAAAGAGAGATACTGAATGAAGGCTATACTCATCAAAGCTTTTTCACTCAAAAGCTTTGCAAGGCACAGTATACAGACAGGGTTGCTTCCATTCAAGCTAGGAAGCAGTATATGTGCCATTGTAGGCAACAAGAAGAATAAGAATAGGCTATAATTCTCTTCCACCCACACCAAACTTAGATGTAATTGTCCAACAACTATCAACCCAAGCTGTGGTTGGATGGAATGAGGACCAGAGCAGCAATTTGCCAGGACACAAATATACAAGATCAGTCCAGATAGAGCCTGGATTAAAAGACATTCAGACTTCTTCATTCTTGAGAGTATCAGAGTTTGTGGAGTCATGCGATTAATGTGCCCGAAGTTGATAATCTGGGGGAAAAAAGTATCAAATAAATTAAACTTAAGCTCCTATGTAGCAAGGAATCTTCTTGACTGCAAATAGTTATATCTCTTTCAGGGGGGAACTTGCAAAGTGAAAATGAAATGAAAATTTTCACATTTGGAAGAAGTTTTGAAACTTACTAAATCTCAAAGTTTCCCTGTGAAGTTAGGACTATTACTGTCTACATATCTGGCAACCTCACATTTAACTCAGGAAAATACTGTACAACCAAATATTTGTAACATCTGGGAATTTTCCTCTAGATCATGGCAAACACAATCAACATAATGGATATTGGATGTGAAAGTCCTATGCATACACACTATGGAATTCTGTAAAACCTTTTTTGTCCAAATGAAAAACATCTGGACAAAATTAGGCTGTAAACAGCATGTTCTTATAACAATATAAGGCAACTTTTCCAGAAATATTTAAGGGCTTTGATCAAATGCTTTCTGCAAGCCTCATCCAGCAAGGAGAAGTTAACATAAGAAGGAACAAAGGGCTATCTAATTCAGCAAGAGCCAATTAGATATTCGTGGGAAGCCTACAAGCAAGACAGTATAGCAGCACCAATTCATACGCTCCAGCATTGAATACCAATTCTGATGTCAGGAGAACTGCATAGGCTCAGAACTAGTAGTTATTGATAGTTCTTACACACTGCAAATTTGGCCTAGCAAAGATGCAACAATTTTTGCTGGCTTCATTTCAGAAGTCTACCATAAGATAGGATCCCATATATTACATTTAAAATTCCAATCCAGAGCTCTGCAGAATAATCACTCATATTCTAGAAAAACAAGAGGATGCGGTGGGAGGAAATAACTTAGCAGATATTTATTGAACTGATCTTAGGTCTGAATCTAGATTAATGGCTACTTGATAGTTAAAATTAGCCATTCCTCCTCCAGAAGAATGATATGGAGTGTAGGAATTTCTATAAAGCAGAACATTTCATGTGTTCTGGCTTTGTATTTCAACTCATGAGTGCAGAGGATTATTTCATAAACAAAAGCGCTAGGGAAATTATTAGTTTGCTTTCATGGTATGCAGATTAACTCTAACTCACACATAGGTGACTGGACATTTTTTAAATATTGATTTTTGCACAAAACCAAACCAGTTGGCTAAGATTGTTCAGATAGCTACCAGAAAGAAGATTAATACATCCAGGGCTTTTTTTGTCATAGAATGTCCAGAACGGAGTTCTGGCACCTTTTTTGGATGGAACCTTGTAGGGTAGGCAAGGCGGGTTGTATGACGTGTGTGAGTTCCAGCACCTTTTTCCCCCACCCCCAAAAAAGCACTGAATACATCATGCAAATGTTGGCTTTCTTGGTTTCTGGAGCACATTTGAATGTTAATGCCATAACTATGCTCAATACTAAGTTTAGTATGCTGGGTGAATATGGTCAGTAGCTATATATAAATCCAGTTTCTTCATGGGCTTTAAAGTTTACCTCCACTCTGGGTGATATAGCGGACCCATGGCAGAGCCTGGTACCCACTCTTTTCAATTATCTTCATGTACCGTACCTGGTCAAAGTGAGATAATAGATAAGAGAGAGAAGAAAGAAAAAAGAAAGTGCATTAACTATCTTTAATTCATTCAAATTTGATGGCATCTCAAGGCTTCCAATTTTAACCTCCCACTACAATGTGGTCAAAGCACCTTTCCCTCTCTAGCTTAGAATGATAATAATCCCAAGTATTTGGCATATATAGTAATTTAAATAATTGTGAAAAGCATTGCAACAATTAGTAATAGTAACCTAAGCTTAGCTGCAGCCATCCATAGGCTCACAACCTCCAGTCATCCCAGCTTTCTTTTCTCTTCCTTAATACCACCTGATCTTATATGGTCCTGGGCTCAAAATGTCTCCATTCTCACTTCTCCATCAAATCTGGCTTACTTGAATCCCAGAGACTGTGAAGTATGGGATTTCAAATCGGACTGAGATGGGTGGCCGACCTTCCAGCTCCTCGTTCTCAACGCTGGGTAGCCCAAAATGGGCTCGCATCAAATATTCTTTACCACCCTGCAAATACAAAATATAATAGAGCCTTTTCTGGTGATCTGAATCCAAATTTCGTGACCAATTGTTTCCACATTCTGGCTCTAATAACCAGGAGGCAAACCCTCATTGCCACCATTGCCAGCTTTTATCACAGCACAAGCTCCATTATAATCTAATTGGAAGGAATTCATTACCTATTATAACACCCTAGCAGTGGCTCTTACAATATTTGTCAGAGACTTCAAGATACAGTTAAGAGCTCTCCAATAAAATAATGCCCCACTCCAAATTCAGCAAAAGAACCATATAATGTACTGAATATTCCTGGTGAAAGTCTAACTGATTGGAATGTACTATTGATATGAAAGATGTAAGACACTGATCAGAGAAAAACAAAAGGATTTTTTCTTACTGGGAAGGACTTTATGTTCCAGACAACAGTATTCTTTTCAGGCAGATATTTTGCACTGCCAATGTTGGTTTTGAATTTGGGTGAGTCAGCATCATTTGGGACAGGCACACTTATCTCCACACCATTGGCCACTGATTGTTTTTTGAACTGGCCCTTTGCCTTTTAGAGAAAAAAAATCAGAATAAAAAATGACATATCGAAAAAGATATATTTCCCTGATCAATTAAGGCTCTGACACAAGAGAAAGATCCAAACCTCAAGATAGTTTGGACTCATTTATTTTTATCCAATGAAGATAGGCATGCTCTTTTCTGCAGGCTATGCAAAATCCATAGCTTTAGAACATAGAACATACTGCATAATATAGAATTGTAGAGCTGAAAAGTGCCTCAGAAATTTTCTAGTTCAACCCCCTACTCAAGACAGGAGTGTGCATTTTATTAGGATCTAGTATTTTTTTTTTTACACTGGAGGTCTTGCAGGGGAATTCACCTTAATCATAATCTCCACTCGGCTGTGAGAGAACTTCTCAATGACAGATTCGATCCAGATGAGAGGTTTCATCTTGTTGGGATGGGGAGAAGGAGAGAGAGAGAGAAAGAAAGAAAGAAAGAAAGAAAGAAAGAAAGAAAGAAAGAAAGAAAGAAAGAAAGAAAGATATGCATGAATTTCAAAGCTTCCAATATAATAGAGGGTGTAGAATAGTCCAAAGATTATTGTATTAAATATGATGAAACTTATCTCCTTGGAGTTCTAGTATATTTAATTAGACCTGCATAGTTAAGCGGCCTTATTTAATGTAGCAACAGCAGGGGTAACACCCTTAGACATAATCTAACAATCATTTATACAGCTTCCAAGTCATTTTTGATTACAGCCGCATAGAAATATGTTTAAATAAAACCATAAAAGAATGGCTAATTTTCTTGTCAACTGCAAAAATGTCATCAATACTATTCAACGACTGATAAGGAGATATAGTCCTGGGTGGCAGAACTGCCCCAACTATCTTTAGCTGAAAAGTATTGTATTCTATTTTCCATAGCACTTAGATTTATATACCTTCCCACAATGCTTTACAGCACTCTCTGGGCGGCTTACAATATAAACATATTGCCCCCAACAAACTGGCTCCTCATTTTACCAACCTCGGAAGGATGGAAGGCTGAGTCAATCTTGAGCCCCATCAGGATCGAACTCCAGACTGGCAGAGTTTGCCCATAATACTGCATCCTAATCATTGCAACACCATATTTAATTTTATTTTGGTGGGAAAATGCTCAGAAGAAGAAGAAAAATGCTGAGATTCTACTCTAGAGCATATCTAATTATTTTGTGTACCACTGAGTTCATACTTTGCATTAAACCCTATGACTCTTTTGGACTGGCTGCATGTGTTACATGCATGGCTGGCTTGTTGGTGCAAAATGTGAACCCAGTCACTATATACAGCCATTACTAGGCATCTATCATGCTTGTAAAGTTTGTCAGATATCTCAATAGACAGGTTTGTGATTGGCAAAAACTCAGCCTACTTGAAAAAGGAAACTATTAATTATCTGGACATATTTTCTGTTGTTGTCTCCTTACCAAAATAAAACCTCCCTTCCACAGCAATTTCTACTATTTTAGAAATGGGCAACTGCCATGCTTGGACATCAATCATTAGTAAAGTGTAGGTGTTGTCTTGGTGAATCCACAAGCAAGGGAGGGATGTCATGTGTCTGACTAATGAAACACTTCAAAGAACTTTCAGGCGTGGTTTAACCTAAAAAGCCTTTATTAATGTTAAGGAGTGTCAGCACGGCATGGAGAATGCCAAGATCTGAATTTTCCTTCCTTTGCACATAACATTCCAGGCATTTCCCCTCCCCTATTTTGGGGTCATGATTCACATCTTCCAATTAACCTGGAGGGCAAAGATTCACTTCCGTCCCCTTCCACGGGCTTTTCTCTCCTCTCTCATTCTCATCTGAATTAACTCTAAAAGTACCAGACAGTTCTGCCTATTTTGTCAAAGCAAGAATATTCAATATTAGCAGCATTGACAGGGATATCTATCTCAGCAGAGGGAAGATGAGATCACTCTTGTGCTAGTAAAGTTCTGGGATATTTTTTTCTGTGTTCCATTCCCAGGACCACTTCAAAGATCTACCTGTGTACTCAGGCGATATGACATAAGCTCAAAATCTCCATCAGGTGGAATGAAGGAGATAGTACGATCATTGTCAAAACGTGATAGTCGCACACACTGGTGGAACTTGACATCCTCGAGTTCCACAGACTTATTTTTTCCACCTAAAAGTCAGAAGTACAGTTATTAAAAGACAAATATGATTTCCAGCAAAAGGTAATTTCAGCTTTACTTTCAGCTCTAGACATATTAAGAAAAAACTGCTTGTTTTGGTTTGAAGCTTCACAGAACTTTAAGACCTCAATGGAAGCAAAGTTTTACACAAAAAGAAGAAAAATAGTGAGCCCTACTTTCTGATAATCAAATCCCAGAATATGCTACAAAAGAAACATATAAAGTTATGGGGGAGGGGACTAAAAACTAAATAAAATTTAACAATTAAAATTGTTAAAAATTAACAATTAACAATTACAGCATAGTCTATTGAAATTAAACCAAAATGTGTGGACTTTTATAGACATTCTCAAAAAGAATTGCAGACTTGCTCTTTATCCTAACTTTATAACCAATCTGACACATTCTAGATGGATATGAAAGTGCAAAGATGTTATTGACATCAGACTCAAATCTGAGATTCCATCTATTATGTCCATTCCTCCCCAAACACTCATGCCACCACACTGTGATTTACTTACGTCCTGTGAGCTCAAAAAGCACCCTGTCATTGAGACCCAGGCGTAGCTCCGGCATACCAGAAAGGAACACCTTCAGTTTGATGGCACCCACTATCTCACTCAGCAGGACATTCCCATTGGCATTAACCTGAAAGACAAAGTAGGGTCTGAGGTCCTCCATTTATTCTCCACACTCTTCTCCATGAGGAAATATGGCTCCTCCTCCTCTTGAACATAGTCATGCTGAAGTTCCCAGCAAAACATGGAAACAAAAACTTCACCACCATTAAATCAGAATGGGTAATCCTAGAAAACTCTCAAAAGGTAGAGTAATAATGACAAAATGAAATGTGAATGAAAATTAAAATAATTTTATATTTATTTTAGATAATTAAATTGAATTGTTAAATTATCCTGTGGTCAGTTATCCTGTGGCGAATTGGCCGTGGCGAATTGTCTCACAGTGAGTTGGCCGTGGTGAATTGGCTGCATTGAGTTGGCCATGGAGAGTTGGCCGTGGTGAGATGGCCACAGCGAATTGGCCGTGGTGGGTTGTCCCATTCCATCCATTGATGGAGAACCCACAACATCCGAAGATGTCAGAACCCATATATTCTTAAGGGGAACTCTCTCTAATTCTATTTCTTCTATTACTCTGGGTTCTGTCATACTCCTAGAGGGGAAGGGGGAAGATGCTACTGGCTGTCTCTTTGTTTTCTCTATCGCTACAATGTATCCCTCTCGCTATCTCTGCATACTTGCTCTTTGAACTGTCTCTCCCTTGATGTTACCTTGAGGTGAGAAAGAAATGTGCCTCTGGGCATCTGGCTTATCTCCCATTTCAGAAGGGAAGGTACGAAGCCACAACAACATTGCTACGAGCCTGGGAAAGACCAGTGTTATCAGCTCTTTCCTACAACGGACGTAACACCTAAGGACTGGCCCATTCGAACTGACCAGATTAACTATTGGGGTGGGGTTTGCTGGGGACTTTTTTAACCTATTGATCTGGGCGGGAAACCCTCAGATCCTGTCTATCATGCCTGCTATCAGCTTCTCCTAATATAAGTTCCTTTTAGAAGAAACTGCTTCCACGAGTTCTGCTTCCTTAGGATGAGGTATTAAAGTGGGCCCTGACATTAGACAGGATCTGCAGTAACAGTCAGCCCAGAAGGAAGATCCTTACTGGGGGACTTAGCAAACCATGTCAGATTTTGGAACGGAGAGAGAAGAACCTGCGATGGGGGGGGGAAGCCTCCAACCGAGCAGATCCCTGCAAATACTCCAGCTCCGAATCCTCGAGCTCATCAGAAGAGGTAGTGGTCGCAGAACACCACCATAAGCCCAGGTGGTCGATGGGTATCGGAAAGGAGGAGGATTGGGAGAAGTCCAGGAAGGTTACACTCAGACAAGATAGTCATCAACCAGGTTGGAAGGTCGAGATGGAGAGGTCTCTCTGCCTTAGTGAAGACAATGAGGACCGCCCATTGGAGCAAGCAATCGACATGATGAAAATAGCGCTCGACTCCATGAGAGAAGAGAAATCTGACCCATACCGGGATACCATTAGCCTGGGTTCCACAGAAGGGACAGACAAAGGAGGGGCTGAACCAGCAGTCCCAGAACTGTCCAAAACCAACACCAAAACCGTAGCTGTCGCCGCCAACACTGCCACCCCTCACCGAGCAGCAACTACGGAGAGAGATGAGAGACGACACAGATGGAAGAAGAGACACTGATCCATCCAGAAGTTCCTGCCACTGGAAGTGAAGTACCGTGGGGAGCCACGGCGCCTGGGATTTTTCCTGTCCCAAGTGCTGAACTACATTGGGGAATACGGCCGCAACATCCCAAGTGATCGAGCCAGGGTTTGCATTGTGCAAACAGCCCTGGATGGCATCGCAGCAGACTGGGTCGTAGACCTCCATGATGTTGATGCACCAGAGCTACAAAACTTCAATCAATTCATGGCAGCCCTTAGACGTCGTTTTGAAGACCCCTAGCTGATCAGAAAGCGTGGGAGTGAATAAAGTCAGTGAAACAGGGCAGGCGACCCATAGCGGAATACACCCAGGAGTTCCGAGCTCTGGACAGCAAACTGAATTGGCAGGAAGACATCCTGCTCAGCCATTTCAAGGACAGGTTAAACTACAACCTCTACGATGCCTGCATTCCCCGAGGAGACCCCTACCAATTGCAAGACTGGTACATCTTGGCCGAAGAGGCAGAGATCGATCTGGCCAAGAGACAACAATGAGGGGGAAGATCGTGGGGACGATCGCCATCAGATCCAACTCATGAGCCAGCAAAGCAAGCACCAGCAACCAAAAGAACCTCAGGATGCTTCAAATGCGGGAAGGAGGGATACCATGCAGCTGAATGCTGCTCACACAGCCCTGTCCGGAAACCTGATCGAGCCCCAGCTGGAAAACCCGGGAAGACTTCAGCAAAGCTGAAAAAGATGGCCATGAAGAGACGGAAGTCATCAAGTTCCCTGCCTCAGCCCAACGAGGAAAGGGAACTCTGACCAATCCAGGAGGAATGTCCAACTCGTCGGACAACAACTCAGAAGACAAACCCCTGGTAAGTGGACCCATTGTGCCCCTCACCCAGACAGTAGAATTGTTGGCCCCCGGCATGCCCGAGAGAGTGGAAATCGGGGCATTAATTGACTCTGGCCGCACCCGCTGCCTCATAAGCCCAACGTTAGTGGGGAATTTGGGAATTCCGGTGAGGAGGCTGAAGAAACCAATCTCTTTCGGTCAATTAGATGGGTCCATAGCAGGGGGAATGCCCGCCATACTAGCTATGCTGCCAATCCAACTCGCCATAGGGGACCATGTAGAGACTATAACATTTGTGGTGACTCCTGGCATGGAATGTCCCCTTATCCTGGGCATGGCATGGCTGGCCAAGTGGAACCCACGGGTGGACTGGAGAACAGCAGAATTCAGGTTCCCGAAAGGGGAATTAGCCAAGGCATCAGCCCAGCCCTGAAATGGTGGAACCCCGGCTGAGAAAGCTGCAGTGGGGGGGAAGGGAACTACCAGAGATACTGGAGGTATATAGAGACCTGGCGGAAGTATTTAGCGAGGAAAGATCCAGTGAACTGCCCTCCCACCGGCTCACGAACTGTTCTATAGAAATCTGCCAGGAGCTAAACTTCCCAAACCTAAATTGTATTCCATGAGCCCACAAGAATTGGAGGAGATGCAGAAATTCATAGACAAGAATTTAGAAAGGGGTTTTATTCAGCCGGCAAAGCCAAAAATAGCTGCCCCTGTTCTGTTCTGAGAAAAGAAAGATGGGACTCTTCACCTCTGCATAGACTATAGAGCTCTGAACACAGTGAGTGAAAGCAATCTATACCCTCTTCCCCTCATGAAAGACATGCTGTCCCACCTATCGAAAGGGAAAATCTTCTCAAAGCTAGATTTGAGAGAAGCATATTACCAGATCAGAATAAAAGAGAGAGACGAATGGAAGACAGCATTCAATTGCCCCTTAGGATGTTACCAGTTTCGGGTTCTATCTTTTGGATTACAAGGAGCACCAGCAGTATTTATGCAATTGGTAAATGATGTGCTACCTGTACAAAGGGGTGCTTATTTACCTAGATGACATCTTTTTTTTTTTNGCATTTTATTTAAATGCTGTTCCACAGATTCACCTGGTTGCAAACAGGCTCTGTAAAGTTTTCTTGACAATTGCACTATATTGCATGCAGAAACATTCACGTGCACAGCTCTCAACTTCAGCCAAATTTCCTTTGCAGTCTTTAGATTTGCAACATTTAGAAATTGTTCATCATCTAAATTCAAGATGAGATAGGCCATGGCTTGATCATGGCTTTTATGATCAATAGCTGCAAACACTTGTGGGGGATTTTCTACAATATACCACAGCTCTTTTGCTTTCAGCAAACATTCCATTTTTGCTGCCCAGATAATGTAATTCTTTTGCCCTAAACAAGGCACAGAGCTTTCCTTAAATTCCATTGCAGCCATTCTGCTAATTCTGCCTTGTTCTTATACTTTTCTAAACATAGGCAATTTCTTCCAGCTTCAAATTACAATGCAGTCCTTAGTAAACTCTGGGCCCATAACCTGTTAGAGAATTTTAATTTCTCTGTTGGTAAAAATAAATCAGAAGCTCTCACAGTTGACTGCATTTAGCTGATTCAAATAAACTCTTTATATTCATATAAAAATATTTACAATACCATATATACTTCTTCATAGCAACATAGCATAAATGAAGACTTCTTACAGCAGAGACAGACCAGAGACCTGAAACTTGAAACCAAAATTCAGCTTCTAACTCAAACCTTTTGCACAGACTCAGTAGCACTTTCTTCACATTGGCTGACTGAGTTACCACATGACTCTTCCTGCTCATGAATATTCCAACAGATTCCAACTGGGAATGGACCTGAGTGACTTTGTCCATCAGGTATTCTACAAATTCCTAAGAAACTGTCATTCCATAAAACGGATTTGTGCTTAGGACAGTGTTGTTCACTTAGCAACCACATGGTTCACTTAACAGCCATGGTGTCTTGCTTAACAGCCATTGTAAAATTGAGTCCGATCATGGATTTACAACCACAAGAATTTTAACAACCAGAATTCCAATCCCAATCCCAATCTGCTGAAATCCAAAAACTAAACAATAATATTACACAGGCATGAAGTTTAATTGCTTCAACATAGAATGCACTTAAAAACTTTACCACATTATTACTTCCTTTCAGGATACTGTGGTTTCCCTGCAAGGTTTAGCCAGGTATGCAGCTTTGACATTCATTGAGATAGAAAATCTAAAGGTGGTGGTAACATCCAGCAAAGGCTTCCAGCATGAATTCCATGTGAACAAGCAAAATCGGCTGGTGCTGCAGCAGGCCTCCCTTTCAGAGATCCCTGGCCAGTACAAGGTGGAGCTCTCAGGTCATGGCTGTGTTTATGTACAGGTGAGTCTAGAGGAGCAAATAATAAAAGCTTGTGTGATTTGGCTTTTGATCCCCTGGGAGCAGCATCTTAATGCTCAGATATCTCAATATCTTAAATTTGAGGAGTAAATGAAAACCACATGTGTGATCTTGCTCTACAACCATAAACTTCTCAAACTAATATCTATTGTAATGCATTG